TTATTGTTAATTGTAGTTTACATGTGTGTCTGCAGGGTTCTAATGGAAACAAGAAACATTTGTTGTTCTTCTTAGATATCCCTGAATAAATAAAATCTAAATAAAAATAAATATAGAACTATCAAATAATCTTACCATATCGTTTATTTTCAGAAGCGACAATGAGGCGTTGGTAAAAGTTTCATTAGCGCTGTTCCATCTGATTTGCCTCATATATCGCACTGTGTCTTCCTGTTTGAAGTCATGAAATAATCTTGCCGCCATGGATTCTATACACTGATGATCAACTGGAAACGAAGACATGATGTCTTCGTTTCAACATGGCCGAACTTTGTTAGAATTTTTGTTTTCTTGATTTTGTCACATTTTCAATCAAATTTTAACTTCATATTTGACATGTATGTTGTGCGTAGATTCTGATTTTGAAATATGATTACATCTCAGAAATATATAAAGTAATCATTTCGATATTTACAAATCAGTTCCCTCGCTTTGGAAACGAAAGCCATTTCCGTTTTCCGCAATGATATGAAGACATATTTTATTTGCAACGAAGACATTCTTTTTTACTAGTACTGTACATACATTAACGTTGTAATATCCCTACGGAGGGTCACATTTGTATGGAATTTATTTTGTATCAAAATTGGACATTACATGACCTATGGGAAAAATCGAACTATATGATGCGATACTCGAACTATATGATTCGAAACTCGCATCATACTATGCGAAATACGCATCATTTTATGCGAAACTCGCATCATCGTATGCCATTTTCAATCCATGTTATACCAACAGTTAATTTTCTTACATAACTTATTTTCATTCACACACGCACTGGTTGTATCAAGTGTCACACAAGAGTTAGCACTAACTCCAATCACTTTCCAAAAATCCAAAAGCAAATGTTGAAATGTCACACGGATTGTGTTATAAGTTGCATAGAATACTGAAAGAATTACACATGGATCAAAGTAAATTTCGAACGAACGTGTCAATTTTACACATGCATTGAGTTCAAACTCGCATAGGATGGTTCCCGCTCGCATAGGCTGTCACAAACAAGTTGCACTTCACACAGGGTGCGAGATTTGAAGTCACGTGACATTTGCATCCTGGTTTCTACAATACGGCGCCCTCCAAAGAAAGTCAGAAGTCACGCGAGATTTCGAAAAACATCGCGAACAAAATCTCGAACATCTCTAGAAACCAATCTATGTTACATGGGGAGCTAGGACGTTATCCTTTAAAAATTCGTTTCAACATTAAGCTGATTAAATATTGGCTGCGTTTAATGAAATTACCTGAAGAAAATATGCTCAATAAATCATATTTGTATGACCTTGAAATGAATGGTTTAGGTTATTCTGGCACTTGGTCCAGTAAAGTTATTGACATATTAAAACAATGTGATTTATTCTCTCATTGGTTGACTCAAAATGTTGAAGATGATTATATATTTATTCAAATGATCACAAAGAAATTAAAAAGTAATTATGCACTTCAATGGAAACAGGATATTCTTACTTTTCCTGTTCTTAGAACTTATATAAAATTCAAAAATACTTTCACCAAAGAATTATATTTAAACATTCAAAATAAAAAGTATAGACATGCATTAACTAGGCTCAGGATGAGTTCACATAAATTACAGATAGAAGTTGGGCGGTACTCAAAACCAAAGCCAAAACCCACAAGTGAAAGGTTGTGTAGTGAATGTGGGGTAATTGAGGATGAGTTTCACTTTATCACAAGCTGTACAAAGAACTTAAAACACAGAGAACTTTTGTTTGAAACTTTAGAATCTGATCTGAAACAGTGCAAAGATCCAGATAAACTGTTTGAAACTATTATGTCTAGTAAAAGCTCTCATGTTAACTTACATTTAGCCAAATTTGTATATCACTCTTTTAAAAATTTGGAAAATGATTAATATTATGTAAACATTTTTTAAAACACGTGTATTATGGATACACCACACTGATATCATACCCTGACATGTGAAACTGATGTAAAGTAGTTTTGTAGTATGTAGTTGTAGTTTGTAGTTTTTTGTACACTGTAGTGACTGATATGTCATTTACATGACATGGTTATTGAGTCAATAAAAGATATATATATACATCAAGGAGTGTGATCAAGGGCTTATTTAATACCCGGGGCATAGTTGTGTACCAAACGAAACGAGAAACGACACGACATCCGATCATTTATTGGCTAATTCAAATCGGATGCGGTAAAAAACCGAACGCCAATTTGCGAACGATCCGGGTATTACGTTCGCCCTTGGTGCGATCGGCACATCATGGTTTGTGAAGGGAAAAACGTTTGTGCGAGCCGCATAAGCATTTGTTCGACTTGTGTACCCTGTTCGATGTCATTTTTAAACAATGCATACGTACACAAATACGCATGTACAAGTGTGATTTTACAAACATAGAGTGTGCAAACTCAAACAAACCGTGTATGAAATCACACGGATTGTGTATGTAAAACGCTATTCTATGTGTTAGAGATCACATACATATAAGATGTCCAATTTTGATACAGTTTTAACACCATACATTTGCACTTGAAAGCCCATTACAGGTGTCTTGGAGGGGTTGAACTCTTTTTTACTCTGCGTTTACTTAGTACATTCAGATGAGCTGTCTTCGTTTCATGCTTCAGAAACCTATGCCCTGTCTTCGTTTCTCTGAGAAACTGTCTTCGTTTTCTGAGCAAGGGAATTGTTTTACGGTTTGTTGGGTATAACTATATATTTCGAGATCGTAACCTACGCACTACATACGGACCAAACATTTAGTTGAAATTTGAAGGATAAAGGTGATAAATCGAGAAAACAAAAATTATTATCAACAAGAAGTCCGGCCCTGCTGATCGAAGCAACACTTCTTCGTTTCCAGTTGAACCACAGTGATATAATAAACGAAAAAATGACGTACTAACACAAAGCTAGGCAAATGATGAGAGCTTTGAAATTTATATTAATTCATAGAAATAGAAACAAGACATACACTGATTAATATAGCACTTTGAAGAGCAAAATGATCACCATAAGTTGCACAGAAAAGTGGTTTTCCAGGAATTTTGATGACAATGTTTATTAAAAAAATCCGAAATGGCCGCCAAGTAATTTACCCAGCATGTTCAAATGTTCAAAGCTGTTATCATTTAAAGCAATACATAGGGTACATTTTCTGAAAAAATCAAAAAAATCTGTTCGTTGGCCTTTCCGAAGGTACAACTTTTAACTATTTTTCAGTCACATTTTCAGAGGGCTTAATTAAAAGCTATTTCATCATGTTAAGGGTCAGTCTGACCATGGCTATCGTGATCCTGATCATGTAAATGATGTGAAACTTTTGGGTTTAAGGATAAATTATAGTCTTGGGCCTATGCAACCCTCGGCTATTAGTTATCATAAACCCCAATACTCATACTTTATCCCTAACGTTATCTGATAAGTAGGCTAAGACCACATCGTGGGACATGAACCAGATAGATTCCTCAAGTCGTACTAATATAAAGGCTATTTCATACACTGCACTGATTATTTTGATTGGGACAAATTGCAACATGCGACCAATGACATCATCAATAATCAAGGGACTCGGTTTCTTAAGGATATAGGTCCGTGGTATAATCATCCATAATGGACACTTATTTCTGTTCCACCGGCTTTGATCATTGAATCTCAATATTGTTGCAAATTGCCAAACATGCACAGGATTGAAATCTTGGTCTTGAAATTCAGATTGTCATATATTTTGAGTGTAATGTATTGTATTTGTAGCTAGAACCACAAGAGGGTATTGAGTTAATTTTTGTCTTTGATTTGGCACTTTGGCGATTTTGTGTTTTTTGGCCTATTGGCATCTATCAAATTTGGCAGTTCTCATGTGTCCCAGACATCCTCCCATCCAACCCAATTCAATATACTCATTGTTAGTGTTGTTGATAACAATTTGTTCAATATTTCTTGTTATTTATATAAATTTCTTCAATATTTCTTGTTCTTTCTATCAATTTAAACGATCCGGCCATCTTGATATCTTTCTTCTAGCTGGAAGTGCACCGAACGAAATACATGTCATATTCCCTGTGATTTTGACGACTGTTTAATTTGGCAATTTTTGTAATTCGCCAAAATTCACCGATTTAAAAAGGTCGCCATATCAAAGACAAATACAGTAATTGGGTAAATGAGAGAATGTTAAATTCTATTTTCCAAAAATCAATTAATATTGGTGATTACCTTGTGTTCATCATTTTATTAAAATCTAATTCCAAATATTCCAGTATATATTTCATATGTACAATTATTTGGTCCAACAAACCATAGTGTAATTTACAGTGTCATAATTATGTCAAGTGAAACAATTTCATTATGTCAGGTGAAACAAGAGGTCAAGTTAAACAAGAAAAATATGTCAAGCAAAATCAGATAATTTTGTCAAGTGAAACAGGATAGCTAAGTACAAAGAAATTGTACAAAAATATGAGTTTATGTTATTAAAACATTTCATCACAAAATGATTTGATTTTGATATATGATGTGCAAATATCTACATAAAATATATAAATTGTTAATTATTTCATTAATCATTGGTAATTCTTATCAGCTGCAGATCTACCCTAATACAAAAATAACACCAACTTATTGAAATGCTACACGTGTCAAGTGATGACACTGAACTTTTGTCACAAAAATGATGGCTCTAATAACGTATCCTATTTTCTTGGTCGTAACAAGATATTTCAACCATAATGAAATTTAATTAAACTTTATAATTATCAAAATTGTAATCTCAATGTGATAAGACCTAAATAATTTTTTTTGTTGAAACACAACTTTTTGTGGCGAACCATGTATTGTTCTAATTTTTCTCATAAAACCACTTTCACCTCAACACAATTACACATCAGCATTATTTGAGACAAAAAATTAAGTCAAAATCAAAATTTCATGAATTGTTTAGTTTCTATATACATTTCTCATGACCACCAAATCTGATACCTACACATACATTTATAAATAACATAATAGGTGTTTATACCTATACAAATACTTTATATACAACGAGTTGTATGTACAGGATATTTCTACATTTTTCTACATAGTCTCTGCTTTGGTAGTTGGTTCATAACTACAGGATGGCCCAAAAATGCAATCAATCTGAATTTTGACTATTTTTTCAATATCAATGTAATGTTCTTGAACTGAGTTATAAATTACGGAAATGTTTTAGTTATTCAAGAATATTCAATATAACTGAAAAAGTTATTTCATAATCAGAGGTTTCTATTTTTGGGACAACCTGTACATATTAGCAAACTACAGTAGTACTAAAAAGTAAACAAAATGTTATAAAAAGTACAATAATAAATAAGAATTCATTTAAAGTGCCTATTAGACATAACATAATATAATATTAACAATATCTATAATTTTAGGTTGCCCAATCCATCTGACGCACCATTATTAAGCTACCGCGGAACTTTTGACACTAATTATTGAAAAATTATATTCAATTATGGATATTTGATTCATTCATGCTTCATAATCTTCACCATAATCTTTCTCAGAATTCTAAATTTTTTGGCCGTTTGAGCCATTTTGAGTTCTCAACTATAGAAACCTCGCAATTATCGATCGGGTAATTTGACCAATCAGGTCATTGTCTATACTGTATATCACCTCTAATTGGAAAATATAGACATAGTCCATATGTCACATGTGTCTAATTGACCAATCATTGACCATCTATCACATTGGCCTCTTGGCCAATCAGATCAATCGTACTATCACAAGCTCCAAATGTATTATGACTTCATAACCATCTAATTTTAAACATCACGCAAACCTTACACTAAAACAACACAATAAACGATGTGTCACTGTAGTACAAAATAAATGATTTAAAATATTAATTACATAACTGTTAATATTAACTAGGCTATACCTCAATTTACTTGCATATTTGGTTTATAGAGTTTCATTGCTTGCTTGCACAGTCTTCCTGTGCTGTTAACATTTTCAAATCTGTGGTACTTTTTTAAAAGTATTCGTTTTATATTTAATTTCATAATTTGCTTACACAAAAACTCTGTCCATTTTAACCATTACTGTACAGGTTGCTGCACACTTGTATTTTTTACTTTATGTATCAGTTTTACACTCCCCTCCAAAAGTTTAGCATCACAAACCTTCAGACCATGTGTTACAAACATCATAAAACTCATAAATAGATGACCTTGGTTATTGAGGAAAAAACTTCAGATGTGAATAGTCCGGGGAGTCAAACTTTGCAGGGGAGTGAACATATTCTTTGGTGTGAACAATGAGCGCCATAGCATAGCCTATGGACTAAATCAGTGCTAAGTTAAGTGAAAGCAAGTGTGATGAGCCAAACAGCCACAATACAGAATATTTTCAACAAGATAGTTTCATCCCACTTAGAGCACTGAAAAGCTTGGCTGCAACACTATTTGCTTGCACCATTTACTTGCACAGTTCCATTACTTGCATTGACACGTATCACGTTCATTGGTCCCACACCTAATCCTGGAATAGTCCCTACCCCAGGAAGCCGTGATGGCAAACCTGGTTGGCTGACACGAAGGATATTCTGGGTGCTTGGATTATACACTGCAGGTTGTCCAATTCTCACAGGTGGGTTTCCAATGAGGTTCGGGTTTGGTATTGTAGTGGTGGCATATGATGGGCGCGGCTGAATGGCTACACCCTGAGTCTGAGGACCACGGAGGTAGTTTCCACCAGGGAAGGCAGATGATTGGACAGGACGTTGTTGTAGTCCTTGCTGAAAACATACTAGTTTATTAGATAGGTGGTATCATAGGGTATTATATGATGGGTGGGTTTGAATGGCTACACCCTGAGTCTGTGGACCAGGGAGGTAGTTTCCACCAGGGAAGGCAGATGATTGGACAGGACGTTATTGTAGTACTTGCTGAAAACATTATAATTTATTAGATGGGTGGTATCATCGGGTATTATATAATGGGTGGGGTTGAATGGCTAAACCCTGAGTCTGAGGACCACGGAGGTAGTTTCCACCAGGGAAGGCAGATGATTGGACAGGACGTTGTTGTAGTCCTTGCTGAAAACACAATAATAAACTAGATTGGTAAAAAAGGGTGAAAAATCCATGGTCTTTTGGAAATTAAAAATAAACACTAAAAATTCATTCACATTGACAAAATTTTAAAAGTTGTATATATTCAGTGATATTTCTGTGATTAGCATACATTTAAAGATGTTATCTTGATATTCTATTACAATATAATGCAACATTGGTATTGAATATTGGAATATCATAGGGCATATAGCCATAATATTCACCTTTTAACTAAGCATTATTACCCGAGGGGTCTGCAACTTGAGGAATGCTTGATATTCTTTTGCAATATAATGTAACATAACAAGGCTGTGGTATTGCATATTGGAATATCATAAGGCATATAGCCATAATATTCACCTTTTAACTAAGCATTATTACCTGAGGGGTCTGCAACTTGAGGAATGCTTGATATTCTATTACAACATAATGCAACATTACAAGGCTGTGGTATTGCATATTGGAATATCATAGTGCATATAGCCATAATATTCAACTTTTAACTAAGCATTATTACCTGAGGGGTCTGCAACTTGAGGATATTCTATTACAATATAATGCAACATTACAAGGCTGTGGTATTGCATATTGGAATATCATATGCCATATAGCCATAATATTCACCTTTTAACTAAGCATTATTACCTGAGGGGTCTGCAACTTGAGGAATGCTTGATATTCTATTACAATATAATGCAACATTACAAGGCTGTGGTATTGCATATTGGAATATCATCGGGCATATAGCCATAATATTCACCATTTAACTAAGCATTATTACCTGAGGGGTCTGCAACTTGAGGAATGCTTGATATTCTATTACAATATAATGCAACATTACAAGGCTGTGGTATTGCATATTGGAATATCATAGGGCATATAGCCATAATATTCACCTTTTAACTAAGCATTATTACCTGAGGGGTCTGCAACTTGAGGAATGCTTGATATTCTATTACAATATAATGCAACATTACAAGGCTGTGGTATTGCATATTGGAATATCATAGGGCATATAGCCATAATATTCACCTTTTAACTAAGCACTATTACCTGAGGGGTCTGCAACTTGAGGAATGCTTGAAGTCTTGTTTGAAGTTCCTGGGGTGGAATATTAGGATTCTGAAATATCAAATAAATTACATTTGAAGGCAATAAGAAACAAATACAACATATTGCAGTTTATTACAAAAATTTCTAGTGCAATGACTTAATTAATGATTTGTTCATGGATTTCAGGGTTCATATTTGAGTTTGATTTTAGTCATTGTTTGTCGCCATAGCCTGTAATAGTTTTACTAGACAGTAACTTTTTGTACAGTACATGAGTCTTTTTGTACAGTACGTGAGTCTTTTTGTACAGTGCGTGAGTCTTTTTGTACAGTACACAAGTCTTTTTGTACAGTATGCGAGTCCTTTTGTACAGTATGTGAGTCTTTTTGTACAGTACATGAGTCTATTTTGTACAGTACGCGAGTCATTTGTTCAGTACTTGAGTCTTTTTGTACTTACATATTTGAGTATCTCCTGTACAACTCTTGGAAGCTGTTGAAGTCCAAATGCTGAGTTCCCAGATGAAAGATTCTGTCCTATTGCTGCAATTTACGAAATAACTATATTATGTAAACTAGTTACTATATAACATAAACTTGTTAATATATATCATATACGAATTCCTATATGGCATACAGGTGTTACTAAATGAACCAAATGTCACTATTAAACAGCATTATCTATATGGTATGAATTTGTTACATGGCATAATCTTGTTAAAATATGACATACATTTCCAATGAATTCCAGCTCTTACAAAGGGTAAAAGTCACCACATTTTATCTGTTTATCATAAAAAATATATACAAAACATGCAACTTGTCACAATCGATACCACAATGGCATATAAAAGACCTATCATGTGCTAGAAAAGAGTTCTAAATAAAAAAAATAAAAATGTCAATTGTACTCACCACCAAAGCCACCATATCTCATCATTCCTTTCTTCTCATTTTCATATTCCTCCCAAGCAGCTTTCCTTTCATCTTCATTAAGTTCCTCTTCAACAAGATGTTCCAACAGGGAGTCGTGTTCTTGGTAGCTGACTATATGGTCTTTCTTACTCTTTAAGATCTCTGTTAATATCACATCCTATAGAAACATACACATATATCAAAATATTTACAAAACATAATGAACAGAACTAGTGTATATATCTTTCTGAAACAATGCGACACTGAAAAGGAGGTACCTAACATGAATTATCACAAATTGATGAGCTTCAACATCTGGTTAAATATGTGAAAATGGAACTTCCAGTTGCAACATATTTCAGAGAATTACTCCAAAAAATATTGGGCGGGGCAGTTCTGCCATATGCAGCTTCTGATCATCTAGTATTTGTACAATATTTAGTATGTACCTTTGGTAACTTGGGTGCTGGTCTTTCTTTCTTATCCTCTAACCTGTCTGGTTGGAAGTTGTAGAGTTCTTTGAGATCATTAGAGTTGAAGTGACGTTCTATCTGGTGTTCGTCTATAACACGTTGTGACAGTGAGAGTTTCTCTATTTGCCTTTCATAGATCTTTTCCTCCATTGTACCCTACATTGCAAATAAAGTACAAGGTTCATTGGAATTAAAGTGACCTCCAATCTTGAGTTTGTCTATAACACATTGTGACAGTGAGAGTTTCTCTATTTGCCTTTCATAGATCTTTTCCTCCATTGTACCCTACATTGCAAATAAAGTACAAGGTTCATTGGAATTAAAGTGACCTCCAATCTCGAGTTTGTCTATAACACATTGTGACAATGAGAGTTTCTCTATTTGCCTTTCATAGATCTTTTCCTCCATTGTACCCTACATTGCAAATAAAATACAAGGTTCATTGGAATTAAAGTGACCTCCAATCTTGAGTTTGTCTATAACACGTTGTGACAATGAGAGTTTCTCTATTTGCCTTTCATAGATCTTTTCCTCGATTGTACCCTACATGGCAAATTAAGTACAAGGTTCATTGGAATTAAAGTGACCTCCAATCTCGAGTTTGTCTATAACACGTTGTGACAATGAGAGTTTCTCTATTTGCCTTTCATAGATCTTTTCCGCCAAAGTACCCTACATAAGGAATTAGAACAAGGATTCATTAAAATTAAAGTGACCTCCAATCTCGAGTTTGTCTATAACACGTTGTGACAATGAGAGTTTCTCTATTTGCCTTTCACAGAATTTTTCCTCCATTGTACCCTTGGCAAATAAAGAACAAGGTTCATTACAAATGACAGTGCACTGAAGCTCTCTCTAATGAAATACAAGGAATTGAACATGCAAAGTGTCACCACCTGCTATGTGTTACAGATACCGAACACCAATCACTGAACACAAACTGCCGACCCCTGTTCAAAAATAAGTTGGAGACTAGAACAACATGTCACCACTTGTATGAAAATCATACTCTATTCAAAAGGTAATGAACATAAAATGTGCATGAAAGTTGAAACTTGTTTTAGTTTTACTATATGAACAATGAACTTTCATTAATCTTTTTGAAGTTAAACAATTGTACATTTAGAATACCTGAGCTAAGAATCTGTATACAAAGACATCTTTGACCTGCCCAAACCTATAGACTCTAAATATTGACTGGACGTCATGGGAGGGGTTCCAAGATGCATCAAATATAATAACTCTGTTTGCCTTGTCTAAGTTGATTCCTAGAGAACCTGCCTTAGTAGAAATCAAGAACAGCCTAGCCCTGCAAAATAAGAAATTTAAAATTAAGGTGGACTGGACATCTAGGTTCTCTCAGGTTACACAACACTTCGGGACAATTTGGCACCAGAATTTGGCATGCTTTTAATTCTGAAAGCAATGCCAAATTGAGGCTGGTGTGTGTGGGTACATTGCAAAAACGCGCATACAATTTTTCAAATTTGGTCAATTTAATTCCACTTTCATTTTTCTTAATAGCTCAAAATAAAAAGTATTATAATACAAATATGATACTACTATTACAAAGAAAATTGTGAGGAATCAAATGTTACCTTTTGTTCTTAGAGAACTCTTGCTGGTATTTCTTCCTTAGTTTGGCATTGGTTGAGCCATCAAACCTGTAGTAATCTTTACCCTTTTCCCATTTCTCCATGTTCATTGCTGGAGTCTACAAATTGATAAAGTTTACTGAAGACAATTTCCAAATTTCCAGTATTTCAAAAATGTTTAGTTTTTTTTAGTTCTTATCATCGTTTTTTTTCTTAAATACTTAATGTTTATACCATAATGGATTATTTAAGACAATCCAGTAGTTAAGGGTGTGATATTTATTTTCAGATCTATGTCAAGGCTTTATTGACTGGCACTCACGACCTCCTAGGCTACAGTAGTTCCACCTAACTTGTAGCAATCCACTACCCTAGCCCACTAAATCTGCAAACTCCTTCAGAATAAATTGTTTCATCAACCTCATTAACAAAATTTTAATTGATTTCATTGGGAGGGAAATTCAGGGATTCTTCACTGATGTAAAGAGTGTGAGACAGTCAATCACTCTAACAAAGAGTTAACTCTTACCTTCTTTTTCTTCTTATTCTTCTCCTCTGCCTGATTGTGCATGTGTTCAAGGAAACTTTCAATGAGATCTAAAGACAGCAAGCTCTGACTGAACACGAGTCTGAAATACAATACAATCAATGTACATCTATGTGTTAAATGATCCCCTCTGCCTTATTGTGCATGTGTTCAAGGAAACTTTCAATGAGATCTAAAGACAGCAAGCTCTGACTGAACACCAAACTGAAATACAATGCAATCAATGTACATCTATGTGTTAAATGATCTCCACTTCCTGATTGTACATGTGTTCAAGGAAACTTTTAATGACATCTAAAGAGAGCAAGCTCTGACTGAAGACCTGACTGAAATACAATAAGATCAATGTACATCTATGTGTTAAATGATCTCCTCTGACTGATTGTGCATGTGGTCAAGGAAACTTTCAATGAGATCTAAAAACAGCAAGCTCTGACTGAACACCAAACTGAAATACAATGCAATCAATGTACATCTATGTGTTAAATGATCTCCACTTCCTGATTGTACATGTGTTCAAGGAAACTTTTAATGACATCTAAAGAGAGCAAGCTCTGACTGAAGACCTGACTGAAATACAATAAGATCAATGTACATCTATGTGTTAAATGATCTCCTCTGACTGATTGTGCATGTGGTCAAGGAAACTTTCAATGAGATCTAAAAACAGCAAGCTCTGACTGAACCCCAGACTGAAATAATAAAATCCATCAAGAAATTTAGCCAGGATGCACAAAACCAAATCAGATATTGGCACTTGTCTGCTATTATATCTGCAAATTTCAGGTTAAACAGATAAGTGATTTTCATTGGATTTTGATGACAAGATTTAATGTGGCACATGCCTGCATAAACAAACTTCCTACTCATTTCGTATCATACTCACACTTTATCCCCCATGGCTCCAGCCAGTTTAACAATCTCAAACATAAGCATCAACTTCTCACTAAGTTCCATCTTGTATTATACTCACACTTTATCCCCCATGGCTCCAGCCAGTTTAACAATCTCAAACATAAGCATCAACTTCTCACTAAGTTCCATCTTGTATTATACTCACACTTTATCCCCCATGGCTCCAGCCAGTTTAACAATCTAAAACATAAGCATCAACTACCCACTAAGTTCCATCTTGTATTATACTCACACTTTATCCCCCATGGCACCAGCAAGCTTAACAATCTAAAACTTAAGTATCAACTTCCCACTAAGTTCCATCTTGTATTATACTCACACTTTATCCCCCATGGCACCAGCCAGTTTAACAATCTCAAACATAAGTATCAACTTCCCACTAAGTTCCATCTTGTATTATACTCACACTTTATCCCCCATGGCACCAGCAAGCTTAACAATCTAAAACTTAAGTATCAACTTCCCACTAAGTTCCATCTTGTATTATACTCACACTTTATCCCCCATGGCACCAGCCAGTTTAGCAATCTCAAACATAAGCATCAACTATCCCACTAAGTTCCATCTATTATTATACTCACACTTTATCCCCCATGGCACCAGCCAGTTTAACAATCTCAAACATAAGCATCAACTATCCCACTAAGTTCCATCTTGTATTATACTCACACTTTATCCCCCATGGCTCCAGCCAGTTTAACAATCTCAAACATAAGCATCAACTATCCCACTAAGTTCCATCTATTATTATACTCACACTTTATCCCCCATGGCACCAGCAACACTGTGAAAAAAGCCAAATATAGTTTGTACTATAGCAAACTATTTTTTAGAATAACCCCCATATAGTTTGAATTTCACCTAAAATATGGGCGAGAATAGTTTCTCCCATATTCCTTAAAACGGAACACTTTAATATAAGTCCTGATATACTCTCCGGTACGCCCATATAAACTAAAATAAGTTGCATATATCATTGCAGAGTGTATATCTTTACTGAACTATTTTCCACTTATACGCCTCAAAGTAGGAATCAAACCTACTATATGCGGTGAAAAACAACTTATATTAAATAAAAACAGACTATATCAAACTATACTTGACTTATTCTTCTCTTATTCTACCTCAAAACAAACTATACGCGTCTTATACGCGATATTACGTAATAGCTTCAGTTCCCGAGTTTGTTGTTTTAACAGATTAAAAGCAAAGTCCAGCATTGAATGTATTTTGTTTTCAATGCTAATTAATTCGCTTGTTCAGATTAATCTGGTCATTTCTATAACCGAGGGTTCTAATTTCCATCAAAAAGTCATTTATAAATTAAGCTTTTTACTTTTACTAAATTGGACAATGACAGTCGAATTATAATTAACACCGTGTTAAAATTTGGATTCATTTCATTAAGTCTGTGGAAAGTTACATTTTCTAATTCACTTGGTATTGAAGTAAAAATAATATAGAATCAAAAGTTTAATATAGTTGCAATAAGAGGGAATCGTAGAGCATATTTTTTCCTGTATGGTAAGCAGTTATTTCCTGTATTATAGTGGAATAAGATATAATAACTATTTTTAAAAATTAATTTTTCTTTAATAATATCATTCGTGTATTATTTGAAGGGAACAACATATAATGCCATATAATATAGAATAATATTCTAGTCAGGAGCAAATAATATGTTGGCATTTGCAATCAAAACCGGATTATATGCGTTTATTTTTGAGCCGTTAATCCCTAAGTATTCCATTCCTATGAAATGAGTTTCATTCACACTAATTAATCCGTTTGTTAGGATTAATTTCTACAGCTGATGGTTCTTATTTCTCAAAAAATTATTTGCAAATTAAGTTTTTACATATTTATTAGATTGAATAACGTCCCTCGACTTATGATTAAGATTGTGTTAAATTTGGGATTCAATCGATCAATCCATTGGAAAGTTAATTTTTTATTCTTAATTAATGCGTTTTCCTCACATTTTTACTCTATTGTTTCTCTGTCACATCAGGTTTACAACAAACAACATTTAAATCCCCCTCTTATACAGGCACGAACAACCACCTGTTCTATTCACTTTGCCAACCAAAAACAGTCATGACACGGAACTGCTTAATTTCAATTAATATATTACGCATTTTATACAAGCCCGTACCTAAGGACCCCCTTCCCCTGGCCAACAATTCTTTAAAGAAATGCAGTTTTTCACATACATGTATTGACATGTCAGAGCAATGTTATTAGTAAAACCTTAATCCCTAAGTATTCAATTTCTATGAATTGAGTTTTGTTCACCCTGATAAATAATCTGTTTGTTAGAGTTAATGGATTAATTTCTACAGCCTATGGCTCTAATTTCCACAAAAAATACAAATTAAGTTTTTCATATTTATTTGATTGTATAGTGTACCTCGTGCTATGATTAACATTGTGTTAAAATTTGGATTCAATCGATTAACTCATTGGGAAGTAATTTCTTGATTTTTAATTATGGGGTTTCCTCACAATTTAACTCCATTGTTTCTCTGTAACATTAAGTTTAATACAACAAACAACATTTAAAGCCATCTCTTACACAGACACAAACAAAGACCACTATTCACTTCGCAAACCACACTAAACGTATATAACACAAAATTGCAAAAATATTCAGCTCAATACATCACGCATTTGATATAGGTCTGTGGCCATGGGGGAGGGTCGTTGGGTTCATGTGAATCCCCCACCCCCTTGCCAAGATTCTTTTAAAATCATACAGTTTTCACCAATCTGTTGGCCAACATTATCAATTTTGACCCCCTTGGTACGTTTTGAAAATTGTCCCCCTGTGCTCAAACTTATTATGAGCCTGTAATATAAAAGAAATATAAAAGACAAATCACTTATAATAAATTAGGAAATAACATGCATTATGTAAATGATACAATTAGTATTAAGCCATATTAAAACAAAGTTAAAACTTGTATTCTTTCACATTTCACAATTCATGTATTTTCTATTATCCATATGATATCTGAGATAAACACCCGTGATAAACAACAGAGATTAGTCCGTGCAATAAAATTATTTCCATTAGAATTGGACCATTTCTGTTTATAACAGCTGGTTTTATTAATCATTCTTTGTTTTCCGTTTCAATATATACATATACAAAAGGTGCAAGATTCGGTATGTTTAGTTGATAATGTAATAATGCAAATAAAGAAACGGGCGCATTTTACATTTATTGCAAATGTTTCATCTGACAAATTGATGATTATGTTTTTGAGCAAATTGGTGCATGGAAGAACAAACTGATGCAAATAACATACAGTATGGACATACAGCTATGTCAGAGCAATATGATAAGTACATGTAAGACTTTAATCCCTAATTATTCAATTTCTATAAAATGAGTTTCGTTAACACTGATAACTAATCTGTTTGTTAGAGTCAATGGATTAATTTCCTACAGCCAAATTGCAACGATTCTAAGTTCCACAAAAAATAATTTGCAAATTAAGTTTTTTATATCTATTTGATTGTATATTATCCCCCATGTTATGATTATCATTGTGTTAAAATTTGGATTCAATCGATCAATTCATTGGAAAAATATTTTTTTTAATTCCTGATTAATAAGTTTTCCTCACATGTTTACTCTATTGTTTCTCTCAGTCTGTCACATCAAGGTTACAATAAACGACATTTAAATCCCCCTCTTATATTACACAGGCACAACCACCTGTATTCACTTTGTCAGCCACAAAAAACAGTCTTGACACAAAAATGCTCAATATTCAGCTAAATACATTACGCATTTTATACAGGCCCGTACCTAGCGACCCCCTCCCCTTGGCCAACAATTCTTTCAAGATCATGCAGTTTTTCACCATCTCATACATGTATTGACATGTCAGAGCAATATAAATAAAACTTTAATCCCCAAGTAATTAATTTCTATGACATAAGTTTTGTTCACTGATAACTAATCCGTTTGTTATGAAATAAAGGATTAATATCTACAGCCGATGGTTCTGATTTCCACAGAAAAATAATTTGCAAATTAAGTTTTTCTAATTTATTTGATTCTTCAGTGTCCCTCTTGCTGTGATTAATATTGTGTTAAAATTTGGAATTAATCGATTAACTCATTGAATAGTAATTTTTTTGATTTTTAACAAATGA